CATTTTTACCGGTAAGGATTCCGATAGACGAGCCATTAAAACTAATATAAAGATGTCACCTTCTTAGAAGATCTCTTCTCTAAAAATGATCTTTCTTTTTTTAAGATAGAAGAAGAGGATGAAATGCTTGTAAGCCAAGTAGAAGTAAGCATATAACTAGTTTTGTGCCAAGCTCTCTTTTTCCTAGTGGGAGCTTTGATAGCACAATACCACCATCTTAATTGAGTGGGAGGAATGAGGATGATCCAATTTCAATTGATGTTGATGATTCTTATTTACGTAGGACTAATCGATCAAGAATTCCTCAAACAAAATTCAAAATTGAGAATAAAACCTACATGACAACCCTATAAGATGATGAAGAACCTAGAACATTGAAAGAGGCACTAACATGTCCTGCTAAAGAAAAAATGAAAAGTTCCATTCGAAAAGGAAACAGAATCCATGAAATTGAACCAAGTGTGGAGTTTACTTATCTTTTGCTAGGTCAAAAAACAATTAGGAACAAATGAGTTCTCAAAATAAAATGAAAAGTAGCTAGATTAGTTAAGCCATATAAACTTGGCTTTGTGGCTAAAGTTTTTCCCCCAACAAGAGGATATAAATTATAAGGAAATATTTCTCTTGTTGTTATGTTTACCTTAATAAGTCCGTGGAAACCTCTCGTGTCAAAAGCAAGACTTTAAGTAGTGAAATGTATCCTAAAACTCCATAAGAAAAAAAAAAAAAGATGTCTAAAGTGTCATATTCAAGTACAGTTAGAACCTTTATGTATATAATGATGTGTACTCACTTGGATATATGTTTTGTTATTAGTTTGATTAACCAATCTTAGTTGAATCCTAGTTAAGAGCATTCAAAGGTTGTGAAAAAGATATTGGACTTTAATTTTGCTTTTAATCGTAGCCTTTCAATTAGTTTCATCTTAGCCACCTATTTATTCTTTAAATTTTATACCTTCATCCAATTATTCTCTTTAAATCTACTCCTTCCATTTGTGCATACATTAATTACATTCAAATAATTGGGCTAAAAGTGGTGAAAAAGGGAGAAAAATCTCTCCCCAAAATTGCTTAATTTTGGTTCTTAAAGTTACTAATCTTTTCTTTAATTACTCCTCTATAAATTCCTCAATTATTCAATTGATTCCTTTAGGTCTTTCCTTTAAAGGTTTCTTAATAACTTTTGAATTCCTAAAGTTCATATCTAATTTAATTTGAAAGCTCAAACTTTTAATTTTATGCAATTAGGTTCCTAATTCTAAAATTTTATTCCACACCTTTCCAAAATTTAATTTCCTTTCATAATAAATTCAAACATCTCCTAAAAGAATTTATTCATCATTCACATTGTTTTTATATGCCTATGCAATCTTTGAAATTAATTATTTTATATAAAAATATACTTTTTTCTATAGAAAATATTCACCATTCATAGAAAAATTCAACTAAGTTTATGTACATGTAAATATAAATTTTTTCACAATATTAAATGGTTAATCATTTGGCCTTTTGATGTTTTTTTCCTTAGGTCTTATATGAGTTTTTGTTAAAGTTGAATTAACTATACTTGATTGATTGATATATTGGATGAAATGTATATATACTCTAGTAGTCATAAAAAGGAGGTCATTCAAAATCATAAGATTGGATAATTTTTTTTTTTTTTATCAATATTGATTAAGAGAGAAATGTATATATACTCTAAGTGGTCCTCTATGGATTCAATCCAGGTATTCAAAAATAACTTCTAAGGATTCAATCCATTCTTTCATAATATTAGGATTTGGAACGCCTCTAAATTCTTTCGGATTAAACTATTTAAAACGCTCTAATATCTCGGTCCTCTATTGTTGATATGTCTCAATTGGACCACGTCGGGTTGTTTCCAATATTCACTATAATTGCTACTCATGCCTTTCTTGTTACAGCTCCATCATATCTAGCTGCCCTTTAAGTAGCTCAATTAACTCCCCTCTTGGTCACCCGACACACGGCTTGATCCTACATTGTTACAAGTGTTATTATTATTAGCCTGTTTTGGTAGCATGGTGTTTTCCCCCTTTTTATTCTACAAATACACATAATATAAGCTAAGTCATTCATGTTACATTAACTCGTAACATTCCACACACATGACATTCAATTACACTATCATAACGTGCCTTTCATATCGATAACTTAAACCTTAACATTTATAACAATTATTTAACAAGCATACTTACCGATTATCGAAAGTTACCGTCCATGTATCTTGCTTATGATTGGTAAAACCCACCCCGATACCTTGTCCGTAACCCCCAACCTAGGACCTAATATGTTGAGAATATTATTGTCATTAACCTACATTCAAAGTGCAATAAATGTAAGCTAACAAGGCATCGTGACTTATCTATAATACATTTAGGTGTAAATTACGTTGCGAAGTCTAATAATGATGATTACGTCTTATATTTAGTTCAAAATGCACTAAAATTTTTTTTACATTTTATTATTTTATTTACATTCTTTAGACTAAAATAATCAAATATGTAACTCTCGGTTTCCTCAAATTCCTTTTTTTATTAAATTATATAAATTTATTTAATTATAACCCATTACTTGATAATTAATTGATTATTTCTTTCCATTAATTACTATTTAAATTAATTATTATGTATTTCATTATATCTTCTTATTGCTCTAGTGATGCTAGCATGGAAATAAATAACTTAAAGTAAACTACACTAGCTACTATTCTACTACCATTTTACTATTAGTACTTTGATTACATACAAACTATTATTTACATACAAAACTCGTTTAATACCATTTACTACAAAAATGACTTATTAATTATCTATATTCATTTCTTTTAGTCAACCATCTACTCGTTTCATTTCCTTAACTATTACATAGAAGAATATGAACACGGCTAAAAAGTAAATTAAGATATCGAGTATGATTGCTATGGTGTTTATGAGTTTCATCCTCCAACCACATCCAATGTATACACGACCGACGGATCCCTCAATAGTCAACTCAAAAGTGAGGAACATCATCTTTACCTATGTTAGCTACACCACAAACATACAAGTGAACGACGACTTAATAAGTTAACTAATGCATGCTATGCATGCAGATGAAGAAGCATATATAAATCATTTGCTCGCTCATGTGAAACCATTTTCCATATCATACATACTTTTCATTATCGGTCCGAAAATCATTTTTTATATGTTTGGACATTTCCCGTTATAGGTACTCGAGGGTTTCTATAATATATGTCCAGTGAACCGGACCCGTCTCGCAAACATGCCTTGTTGAGCCTCTAAAAGTGCATGTCCGCACTTATTCAGACTTAAATAAGAGTATAAAAAATTATGTAAATCATAATTAAGTTATTTTAGAAAGTATTTGAATTGATTATGAAGAAAATTTGGATTTTGGAAAGGTATGGAATGCAATTTTGGATTTATGGACTTAATTGCATAAAATTAGAGACTTAATTGCATAAAATTAAAAGTTTAAATTTTAAAATTAAATCATGTAGGAATTTTAAGGTTCAAAAAGTGGTTCTAAAGACTCGAAAAGGAAAGGTTAAAAGTGATTATTTGAAGGGTTAAAAGAAGGATTTTGGGAAGAATATGCCATAGAAAACTCTAGCAATTTGAGGGACTAAAATTAATTATTTCCCCCATATATTGCTGACTTAGAGCCATCATTAAGTCTGATTTCTAGTAATAGTTGTGGTCGAAATTAAGCAAGATGGAAGGCTTAAACAAAAAGAAGGATAAATGGACAAAAATTTAGCCAAATGAAAAGAAAGGATTGGAAATTGAATTAAGGGCTAAGGTTAACCCAAATTAAGGGTGGAGATGCGATCAAAAAGTCTACAAAATTTGTCTATAAATAAGAGTGCTAAAAAAATTAAAAATACTATAATTTTTATGGTAACATTATTGATTATTTTGTAAATAAATATATATAGATCAAATGCGAGATAATTTCAAAAAATAATCTTTTCATCGGCATTAAATAAAAATAATTATTTTATTAGTTAATTTTATATAAGTCTATACATTAATTATAATTTTATTTTTTTTAATACATTCTCATTAAAAATATATTTTAAAGTTTTTTTTTTAATTCTTGATTAATATTTTCGTTCAAATTATTATAAGTTTTTATTTAAGAATTAATGGATAAAGAAAATAAATTAATTTTTTAAGTAGAAAATTTATGAAAAACATAAAAAAAATTAGTAATTTTTAATAAAAAATTAAAAAATTAAAAAGTAAATTTGTTATACTAGACTCACAACAGTAGTACGAATAATCGGTTAATATATTTCTAATTAAGTGCCATGAAAAAATTATTTTATGACAAAATAGTTCATTTATTGTTTTTTTTTTCGATTTTTCGTTGTACGTAAGCTCATGAATAATTGAATTATTACGATGCATAAAAACTGATTTTTTTTTTCTGCAAATAAAATGTTTGTTAGATTATTAAAAGTTGATATTACCGTCAATTGTACTTTTTGTCCCAAGAGTGGGCCAAGAAATCTTCGTTTCCTGTCTATCTTGTGATTTCAATATGGCAATGGCACCATGTTTTTGTGAGTCAATACATGTTTTAATTAACTCTTTTAAAGGGTAATAAATATAAATATAGAATCTAATTTATTATTAATTTAAATCCAGTAAAAATCCAAATCATAAAGAGAAGATATGAAATATTTTTTTTAAAAAAAACCACCAACCAAATATTACCGCAAATTAATAAATCTGATTCAAGAATCAATACATGAAAAGAAAATCAAATAATACAGAAAAAGATACTTCACATGAAAATCATGGATGGATGCCTATTGTACTGTTTTATATATAAACAAAAGAATGGGAAGAGCAAAGGTAAAGATCCATGATTAATGAAAACAAGACAGTATCTGTAGTAGTAGTCAAAACAACAAATAGTACAGACAGAGAAAGCCTATGCATGATACAAGGTGAGGAAAAACTAATTTTTCTGGGTAGTCTTCTGATACTTGTCTTTGATCCAATTGAAGCCAACAGAGGTCCCTTCTTTCACCTTCTTGAACCCAGTCGAAGCAACCTGTTTCGTCTTTCCGACTCCTTCTCCAAGCTTCTGCTTGTATTTGGCAGTCGAATCATTGCTGCTGCTGTCCTTGTTATGATACCCAGCAGGATCTGGGTTGTAGTCCCATTGATCAGCCCATGATGTCTCATAAGAACTGTTTCCAGACATGGTCGATCGATTTCTTACAGCAAATGATGAAAGATTAATCTCCGATGGAGAAAAGATGGAAGAATATTTGTCAAGGAGAAGAAGGGACAGAGATTTGCCAAAGAAATGTTGGAATCTGTCAAAGGCGGGATGAGACAGACGAACGAGTTGTAGGTTTTTTAGTTTATGAGTTCGTGACGCTGCTTATTATATATTCGTAACGGTCCAACTTGGGAAGCGTGGGGATTGGAATTTGGACTAGTCTTTTAATTTTCACGCGTTAATTATTTGACAAATATACCCTTTCATTTCTTTCCAATTATAGTTCATAAATAACTTCACTTAATTTGATAATTAGGATAATATAGTCCATAACATTGGTACAGTGTTGTTCTCTTGCAAAATCCGGTATAATCAGTCAATTTTCAGGCAAAATTTTAAAGGTTCTTGTGTTGTTTCTACAAAGAGTAAATTATATATTAGTCCTTTTAGTTGTTCAAAATAAATTAAATATTTATTCTAGTTTTAAAAACTAATTAATTGATCTCTATATTTGTAAAGTTATTTATAACTTAATTTTTTTTGTTTTTTTTCAATCTAGTTTGATTTCTTTATTTTTTTTAAAAAATATATATAGAAGGATTGATTTAAAAGAAAGATATTTTTTGAAATGCAATAACATTAGATTAATCATAATAAATACTAGACTAAACAATTAATTTTATACTTATAGAACCCATAGATCTAGATAGCTTTGGGGAAAATATCAGGACAACCTTTGTATTTATACATCTTGCAGTACAATAATTTTAACATGATTAAAATGCATTTTAACAAGTTGACATCCCCATTAGCGTTTGTCAGTAACTTAAAAGGTGAAGTACTTTAAATTTCATTTTTGAACAGAATTAAGTAATTCAATATCAAAGTTATACTAGTACTAAATAGATAATATAGGGGCAGTGAAGTAATTGCAGAAATTAGCTTGTGCTTCTGGAAGCATCGAGAAACTTGTCGATTTTTGACCTACGAACATCTACGAAGCTGGTTTGGTTTTGGAATAAGAGTCTTCTTATCTAGTCATCTCGGTGGCCCGTGCATTGGATCTCAGAAGCTTCGTGGCGTATCCATACGCGTATGTATTGCATCCATACTCTTTACAGGTCAAAAGGAGGACATCCGGCCCCATCTAAATTTTCTAAATGTAGCGTGCTGATACAAGAGATTTATTTTTAAAATCATAAACAAAGAAAATTTAATTTTAATTTACTTATTATTTGACTTGAATAGATGTTTCATTATGGAATAAAAAAAACAAACACATATATGACGTGTGTATATGTTTTAGTATTTGTTGCCTTGTTTTTTTATGGCCAATGAAAGAAAGTAGAAGCTATGTATTTTCATTCTCCACGAGAAAAGTCAACTATGGTTATCCAATTTTGTTTAGGTTAATGCTTGCCGAGGTGTTTCTATCATTGATTATGTTTTTATAATGTCCTTCTTCTTCTTTATTATTATTATTATTATTTTCTCTTTCAACATCTGTTTTCGCTATTCATCACATTCTTTTTTTTATCGGAATTATTTTGAATTAATTAAATTTGGTTTAGGGTAAATTAGGATAAAATTTTGAGTTTATAATTTATTATACAATGATTAAAAATAAAAATGAATTGATTTAATAATTAAGTTATTAGGACTATTATAGGATGTTAAATTTTAAAATTAAACTATTATTATTTTTTAAAATTGACATAATATAAGATTATTTAAAATTAAGATTTTAAATTAAAAAATTATTTGTTTGATATAGATAAATAATTTATTCGTTGTATAGATTATGATATTAGTTATTCATATACAAATTTGTTTTAGCTAGTTAGTCAATCATTGCCACTTTAGCTAGATGTTTCGAAAAAACTTGTAATTAAGTAATTGTGCTTTGGCTTGGATATGTAGAAGGAAAAAATAAGATCCGATCGTGTATGGATAGACTTTAGGTTTATCGATGGGGTTTTAAATAAGGGTTTTGTAAATCACTATTAGAAAAAAATGATTTAGCGTCGGAAATCAATCCGTTGGTAATTAGCAACGAATTACGAAATAATATTTTTCATGACGAGTTTAGTGACGGATTAGCGAGGAAAACTTAGCGACGGAAACAAATCCGTTACTAAATAAGACGGGAAAAAAATGCCAAAATCGACGACGGATTAGCGACGAAAATTCGATTGCTAAATATAAAATTAGCGATCGAATTTAGTCCATCACTAAATAGTGATGGACATCCATTTCGTCACTAATTAGCGACGGAAGGCTAGTCCGTCATCGATAGTGTAGGGGAAATTTCCCCTTAAATTAGCGACGACCGGCTCGTCCGTCGCTATTCGGGGGGAAATTTCCCCTCAAACAACGACAGACCGGTCGATCCGTCACAGATTAGCAACGGAATCGGGTCCGTCGCTACTTTGCTTATATATACCGACCTCCCCTTCCTCCTACTTCTTCATTTGTTTCCCTCACCTCCACTACATCTCCCTTTCCAGCACCAACCAAAAAACGACCACCTAGGCCACCCCACACCGATAAATGTTTTTCCAAAGCATTCAACAAAGTAAAGGTTATCTTTCTTTCTTAAAATTGGATCGGATCTATGCTATATATACTTGATCTATCGAGTAAAACTTTCTCTCTCTAACTTTTATTTTTTTAAGTTAGATAAATATTATATATTTTTAATTAAATTTTATTATTTATTATTTATTAATTATTTGAATGTTGCTAATTACCTTGTTATGTAATTGGTATGCGATAGATTTATTTTGCTAAGTTTTAGTTTGTTGTTATTTTAGTTGTTAGGTTACTTTTTATGTTAACGTAAAGCTTAAAAATATAAATTTTGTTAATTTTCAGTTGTTAGATTAAAATTTAATTTTTTAACCTTAAATTGTTAGTATGATTAATTGATTTAATTATGTATTTATTTTTTTATTGTTATAGGTTAATTTTCTTAGTTGTTTGTTTAAATTTAATTTTGAAATTATATTAATTTTTAATGTAGTTTAATAAATTCAAATGTAAATTTCATAAGTAATTTTATTAGTTTAATTATTAAAATTAAAATAATATAACATGTATAATGATTTGATTGGATCGAAAAAAATGAAAAAAATATAATTAAAAATTTAACATAAACATTAAAAATTTTATAAATATTTTATTAATTAATAAAATTAAATAAATATTTTAGTTGAATATTTTTAAAAATTATTTTAGTGATAATGTAAATTAACGTTTTTTTGCTTCATAAAGTCTAAAATTCTATATATTTTAGGTGAAAATGATAATGTAATTACTACAATAACTTTAAAAATGTTAAAATTATATAAATATATAGATAATTAATAGAATTAAATAAATATTTTAGTTGAATGTTTTCATAAATTATTTAGTTCATATGTAATTTAACGTATTTTGGTTAAAAAAAGTATAATTTTTTTTTTTTTGTATTTTAAGTGAAAATGATAATGTAATTCCCTTAAATTACCTAAGGTAGTTTAAATTAGGTTAATTTATTTGTTTAGGTTTAGGTTAATGATATAAAATATAGCACTTAAGGTTGAAGATGTTAAAAAATTACATAAAAATTATTGAATATTAAGAAATTAAGTATTTATTACAAAAATATAATCATTTTTTATATAATTATTTAAATAGGAAGTAATTATATAACTAATATAATTGTTTAATATTTATTTAAAATAATTCGAAATGATGAGAAGTAATTGTTTGCAATGGTTCCGTTATTTTTTGTAGTAATTTAAAAAATGAGACTCGATCAACAATGGATGAATTTTAGGTTAGTAAATGGATTGTTAAATGATGAATTTGTCAAAGTTGTAGAGCAATTTTTAGCTTTTGTTGTTGAGCATCCCGAATGCATAGACGAAACCAAAATTAGGTGTCCTTGTAATTTCGGTAAGTGTCAAAACCGAAATTATGAAGAGATTAACACGGTCAAATATCATTTGTGCCGTATAGGTTTTGTGCTGGGATATTATAATTGATCGCATCATGGTGAATTTGAAGCCTATATGACATCCGAAACTTCTAGGAGTCAGCATGTTTCAAGAAATTATTATATAGGCGAAGGTAGTTCTAGTGAGCCCCAAAACCCATATCAACGTATGGTAATGGATGCGGTTGGTCCATCCTTTGATTCGTCCAACATGGAGGAGGTTCCTAATCCTAGCACCCAACACTTTTATGATATGTTGAATGCATCACGTAGAGAGATTTGGCTTGGTTGTGATAAGCATTCGCAATTATCGACGATTGCTCGAATGCTTAACCTAAAAGCCAAATATCATTTTTCGGAAAAGTGTTTCGATCGGTTATATGAGCTGATGAAGGAGTTGATACCGGTTGATAACTCGTATGATACAAAAATTTTACGAAACAAAGAAGCTGATGAAGGGGATGGGTTTATCGATGGAAAAAATTCATTATTGTCATAATGGATGCATGATTTATTGGAAGGAAGATAATGAATTAGATAAATGTAAATTTTTTCAACATCCTCGATATCGAAGTTCTCGTCGAGGATCGGGAAGAGGAAAACTTGTTCCAAATAAGAAAATGTACTACTTTTCTCTAACTCCGTGTCTGCAACGATTGTATGCATTGAATGTAACGGCTGAGCACATGATGTGGCATGCTGAACATAGGGGAGATGATGTAGGAGTAATGCATCATCCTTTTGATCCAATTGCATGGTAGAGTTTCAATCGGATTAATCTTTCTTTTGCGAGCTGAAATAAGGAACGTCCACTTAGGAGTGTGCATCGATGGGTTTCAACCATTTAGTCAATCTAATATATTCCTCGTGGTCGGTCATTATGACTCCATACAATTTGCCACCATAGATGTGTATGAAGGAGGAATATATGTTCCTAATAGTGATTGTTCCGAGTTTAATAAATCCAAAACATAAGTTGGACGTTTACTTGTAGCCTTTC